GCGAAGTGCTGTAAACTTCCTGGCTGCCTTGTTTGCAAGATTTACAACATGGTTCTTCATGGTTAGTTTGGAGTCAAATTTCACCCCAAGGATATCAACTTCTTCTCCAGGTGCCAACATCCTTCCATTCATCCTTACTACTGTACCAGCATTACCATCATGGTGCCTAGAGACGATCATCATTTGCGTTTTCTCAGGTGCAAATGTTACTTGCCATCTATTTCCCCAAGCTGATATAGCTCTCAGCTGGTGATTGATGTAGCTTAGAGCAGCTGGCATTTCTTTTCTTGGATAAGTGAATGTCACTGTACAGTCGTCTGCATATGCATGTGATTCTGGGATGAGATGATGAAGGTCGTTGAAGTAGACATTCCATAACAATGGACCCATCACGCTTCCTTGTGGAACACTTGCCCCAATAGGATGCCTTGCTGATTCCGTCCATTGAGGACTACACTTGAGATCTCCCAAATGAAGGTAATCACTGAGGAGACATAGCATAGACCCCTGCAATTCCCAGTGTTTGAAGTTTGGCTAAGAGGCCCGGTGCCACACCAGGAAAGGGGCAGCAATGTCCAGTGCTTTTTCTCTCTCTCTTTTCTCTTCTCTCTTTCTCTTTCTCCCCTCTTTCTCTTTCTCTCCTCCTCTTTTCTCTTTCTCTCTCTTTCTCTTTCTCTTTCTCCTCTCCTCTCTCTCTCTCTCTTTCTTTCTTTCTCTCTTTCTCTTTTCCTCTTTCTCTTCTCTCTTTCTCTTTCTCTCCTTCTTTTCTCTCTCTCTTTCTCTTCTCTCTCTTTCTTTTTCTCTCCTTCTCTTTCTCTCCTTTCTCTTTCCCCTCTTTCTCTTCTTTTTTTTTTTTTTTTTTTTTTACACGGGTTTAAAAGGGTTAAGGATCCCAGTTTTATTGACACTATATTACGGGTTAAGGATTCCTAACTTTATTGGCAAGCTAAGACTGTTACCTACATCAGCTCATTTGAAAGCATTTTTATTGTTATGAGACATACAAGTACGGGGCAGGATGAAGTTGGAGCCATCTGTGGGCCAGCATTTTCATTTGATCAACTGACTTTATCTCGTTGACATCATTATGCTGTACGAATGTTTTCCATACTCGAGTCATCCTGGGTATGGGATGATCTCAGATGGAGTGATGTTCTGGGGAAGGGTACAGCCAGAGTGAAGTTGCTGCTTTCTGCCCGCTTGTGGCATAAAAGCTTGTTTCACGCTGTCCTCGAAGTGGATCCAAGTGTGGTATTTTGACAGTATTGGCTTTCTCTTCCTCTCTCTCTCTCTTTTCTCTCTCTCTCTCTCTCTCTCCCTCTCCTCTCTCTTTTCTCTCTCCCCTCTCTCTCTTTCTCTCTCTCTCCCCTTTCTCTCTTTTTCTTCTCTTTCACTCTCTCCTTTTTTCTCTCTTCTCTCTCCTCTCTCTCTCTCTTTCTCTCTCTCCTCTCTCTCTCTCTCTCTCTCTCTCTCTCTCTCTCTCTCTCTCTCTCTCTTTCTCTCTTTCTCTCTTCTCGCTCTCTTTCTCTCTTTCTCTCTCTCTTCTCTCTTTCATCCTTTCTCTCTCTCTTTCTCTCTCTTCTCTTTCTCTCTCTTCTTTCTCTCTTCTCTCTCCTTTCTCTTTTCTCTCTCTTCTCCTTTCTTTCCTCTTTCTCTCTTCTCCTCTCTTTCTCTCTTTCTCTCCTCTTCTCTCTTTCTCTCTTCTCTTCTCTTTCCCTCTTTCTCTCTTTTCCTCTCTTTCTCTTTTCTCTCTTTCTCTTTCCTCTTTCTCTTCTCTCTTTCTCTTCCTCTCTCTCTCTCTCTCTCTCCTCTCTCTCTCTCTCTCTCTCTCTTCTCACTCTCTCTCTCTCTCATCTCTCTCTCTCTCTCTCTCTCTCTCTCTCTCTCTCTCTCTCTCATTTTTTCGTTTTTTCTTACTTGCCTCTGACCCTACATTAAGACTACAGATATCTTAAGGTAAGTTTGGAGGGATATGTTGTGTATCTTTATACGTATATGCTTCTAAACTGTTGTGTTCTGAGCACCTCTGCAAAAACAGTGATTATGTGTGATTGAGGTGAAAGTGTTGAATGATGATGAAAGTATTTTCTTTTTGGGGATTTTCTTTCTTTTTGGGGATTTTCTTTCTTTTTGGGGATTTTCTTTCTTTTTGGGGATTTACTTTCTTTTCACCCTGCCTCGGTGGGAGACGGCTGACTTGTTGAAAAAAAAAAGTAATTAGTGAGCTGTATATTCATTTTATCGCTCTGGGACACTTAAATGTTATAGAATATTATGTGTGGGTGGGTTGGCCTGGTATGGTAGCCTGGCTGGCTACCATACATACCACACTTGATTTCTTACAATAAATACTACTCATCTCACCCTAGATTAAGTCTACAAATATTTTAAGGTAAGTAATGAGTGTACTATATGTGTATATTACTTTTTTATTGTTTTTAATGCCTAGTTCTATTGCTAACCCCAATGGAAATAAGTCACACAGTCTGACTTTTTTGGGTTATCCTAGGTACTTTACGCATATGCTGCTATGTATGATAATCTATGTAACTGCATTTGTATATACCTGAGTAAACTTTCTTACTTACTAACTTAATATATGTTAGTGTAAACTTGTTATCTAGTATTTATATGCATTTGAAAATGGTAAAAAAGGTGTTCCACTTTACGGCAATTTCCACTTTACGGCGGTAGCCTGGAACCTAACCTGCCATGTAAGTGGGGCCCTACTGTACTCCAAAAATGACCAGTGAGAGGACAGCCACTGTATTGCATTAGTCCCTGGATTACATTAACTGGATGGATGGCCCTCTGAGTATACCTTTTCCCCTATCTATTGTGAATTAATCAAATCACAGAACGGATGAGACTCGAACCCATGGTAGATGAGTCCTAAAACTCACTCACCATGGATTCATGCCCCACCTTTTCTGTGAGTTATTTGCAATCGTATTATTACAATTTCGTGAGTATTGTGAATTATCGAGCAGCTACTGTAATAAAAAAAAAAGATGCACTCTTATTTTCACCCAGCTGTCAGCACTCCATGTGTCCATGTTCACATTTTTTCCATCTCCATTATGAAGAAACACACTCGCCATCACCACCATGAATATCCACTTTCATGCTTCACCATCACTACTTTAATCCTCCACTCTCACTTCACCATCACTGCCTTAATTATTCACTCTTACACTTCACCTTCACCACCATGATTATCCTTCACCATCACCACCATAAATGTCCACACTTGCACATCATTACTACCATAAATGTCCACACTTGCACTTCATCACCACCATGCCAGACTGATTATCCTATCATTGCATCTTCTTAATTCCATATATTTCTTCTCTAACTCTGTACATTAGTGAAATACAGCAAGCTTTGTTTTGTAGATTACACTGGCAAGAGGCCCAAGATCCCTTTCTCAATTATTAACCCTTTGGCTGTTTTGGTCGCATATATACGTCTTACGCGCCACTGTTTCTGACGTATTTATGCGTGTAAATTCTAGCGGCTTCAAATCAAGCAGGAGAAAGCTGGTAGGCCCACATGTGAGAGAATGGGTCTGTGTGGTCAGTGTGCACCACATAAAAAAAAATCCTGCAGCACGCAGTGCATAATGAGAAAAAAGCTGACCGTTTTATTGGATTAAAATGCCTACTTTGAGGTGTATTTTCGAATAGTATTTATCGTTGTATTCTCAGTTTTCATGGTCTCGTGTGATAAAATGGAAAACATATTACAGAAATAGAGATGATTTTAATTAGTTTCACGATGAAAACGACCTTGAAATTGATCTCAAAATAGCAGAAACATTCTATTTTTACCAATGTTCAGGAGTAAGCAAATCACACTACACGTCAACTGGGGAGTCTGATATTCTTTCACTAGTGCACTGATATTTATACCGTTTTAACAATAATGCAGTAGTCTGCATAACAGTAATTTTTTTATTTTTTGTATGAATAAAAAATCAAAATAGAAAGCAATAGTAAATAAGAGGGGCCTAGAGATGTGACTAATGAACAGAGGATATGTTATTTCAGTGCCAAGAATGTCTACATTGTTTATTCTGGACCCTATTTTGAAATTGGCATCTTTTTTAATTTGCATGAAATTGGCCAAATTGCCAATTTCTGACCACTTTATTGGGTAGTTCAAATCGGTAAATGGGCGGTTTCTTGTACTCAACTGATAGAAAAAATGGAGTTCTAAAGAAATAGCTATGAGTTTGGTCAACTGGAACAATGGAATTGGCCAAAAACGGGGCTCAAAGTCGGCAAAATTGCTGATGCGTATGTCGCCGAGACCGCTAACTTCGCGGGAGCGTAATTCCGTGAGTATTTTACCAAATTTCGTACTTTTGGTGTCATTACCATCAGGAAAATGTTCTCTATCGTTTCGTAAGAAAATTTTTTTTTTTTTTTTCAAAAATTTTGCGACATAGAATGACAGTTTCAGAAAGGGGCTTGCGACAGTCAAAGGGTTAAACCTCAACCAGAACATGTATAGATGAGTAAGATGTGTACAGCAGTTGGATATCTTTATTGTTTGAAATGTTTTGCCAGCTTTGCAGGCTTGTTCTGTTGACTTTAAAGATACCAGTGTCTTGCACATGTCTTACTAATCTGCTTGTCAGTATTGGATAGCATTAAATTAGGTATATGTAGTTGTATTATTGAAACTGAGTTGTTGTTATTAGTATTATTACCCGGAGCAACACTTATTTGACCAGTAGATGATGATGGCTACAAAAAAATAAATCTATATTAAATTGACTGGCCAGAGACAGGCTGCAGTTAGTAGACTGAGGATTGAGCCTGCACCACTCATTGTGCTTAATGACCCACAAGGGTTTAGCACTTCATGAAATAAAATCTGCATTCACATGTAAATAAATGTTTATTAATTTAATTTACATCTATAGCTCGCACTATTACCTAGCTAAAGATCTTGTTTGCAGTATTACATCGTGTGTATAATTTATTCCCCAGATAAAATCATTCGCCATCGTGCCTGTACCTTACGTGATACAGCCTATGCCTATATTAAGGCTGAAATGGACACAGATTTTGAAGATAAGTGCCGTGAAATCAGAGATAGACGTCAAGACCGATATGTTTCTGCTGCTAAACCTCAGGTTCCGGAATTCATCCATGTTGCTCCAAATTCAGTTAGTATTCTTAAGATTTTTGTTTTCCCCCATGTATACATACCTGTGACAAATTTCGAGGTTCTATCCTCACAGCCCAGTCTGAGGCTAGGCTTCCTTGTTGCCTGGCCAACCAGCTGTTGCTGCTACCAGCCTGCTGGCCCACATAGCCATCCCAGTATTTACTAAATTATTTTTAAGATCCTTGGTTATTACTGTAAAAGGTGCTACACTCACAAATGCACAGACATTGCTGGTCGAAAAAGTTTTGGGAAACATTTTTTAGATATCTCTGAAGGGGTACCTTTCAGTGGTTGCCTGATTTTTTTTTCTTTCTCCAATGTTTCCCTTTATAACTTGAGAAAACCTCATCCAAGTGGCTTAAAATTTTCAATTTTATATAAACCATTCCTGAATTTGGTTTCTGTGTAGTAATTTGAGAAAGCCTCTTCTGATCGATTTCAACACTGGTATCTTCATTGCAAAATGTTTTGCCTACACAGTAGGCTTCTTCAGTTGAATACAGAGGAGGCAGCACAAGCAGTAGAGATGTAAATACAATATAATCAGTCCATCACCCTCGAAGACATACTTTTGAGGTGGTCAACCCCTCAACCTGGAGAAGAGTTTTGCTCCATATTCTGGAGTTATTTTTCTTTATAGAAACTTCACATTGACTTCGATTATGTAAGTTTTAATTTGCTAGCTTTATTAAACAACTGGGTTTCCATGTAGTATATGGAGAATGCATCTTCTGGTAAAGCTTCAAACCCTAAATGCTAGTGTATTTTTACTTACGAGTTATACAGTTGACCCTTGAACAACACAGGTTTGAACTGCACAGGTCCACTTATACATAGATTTTTTCTAATAAGTATATTGGAAATTTTTTTGGAGATTTGCAACAATTTGAAAAATAAAAAGTCTGTGTAGCCTAGAAATACAAAAAAAAAAAATTACGATAAGGTTAGGCATGTCATGAATGCATTATGTATTTGTAGGTACTGTCTATTTTATTATTTACTACCATAAAATATATACAAATCTATTATAAAAAGTTAAAATTTATCAAAACTTGCGCACACAAACAATTACAGATCGTATATGGCACCATTCGCAGTCGAGATAAATGTAAACAAATGTAAAGTTTCAGTATTAAATCATAAATGTGAATTTCTTTTTCACATCATTTTTCATTTTTGATGTCTAGTGTTACTAATACGTGCTATGTATCATATAAGTGTTATGTATCTACATATGTAAGACAATATTGATGTATGGGCTGACAGACAGACGATTTATTTTGTAAACAGATGACATAAACTTATGGTATTGATAAATAGAGTATAGTACTGTAAATGTTTTTTCCTTATCATTTTCTTAATAGCATTTTCTTTTCTATAGCTTACTTTATTGTAAGGATAGTGTATGTAACACTTAACAAAATGTGTGTTAATTGACTGTATGTTATTGGTAAGGCTTCTAGTTAACAGTAGGCTATTAGTAGTTTAGTTTTTGAGGAGTCAAAAGTTACACGCGGATTTTCAACTGCACAGGGGGGTTGGTGCTCCTAACCCCCCGCATTGTTCAAGGATCAGCTGTAGTTGGATTTATTTTAGCCTGTATTGGTGCCAATTTGCCATGTTTATTAAAAAAAATTGAAACTAAATATTTCACTGCTTTTGATGAGATAATTTGTGAATGCCCCATCCATTTGGTTTCAAACTTTTAGTGTTGATAGGAAGGCTGGGTATGGGTCGTCCTAGGAAAGTTGGAGGGAGGGGCTAAATGAGGTTTTGTGTATGAGGGGCTTGAACTTCCAGCAGGCTTGCACAAGCGTGTTAGATGGGAGTGAGTGGTGGCAAGTGAGTTTTTATGACATGACGTGCTGTTGGAGTGTGAGCAAGGTATCATATATGAAGAGATACATCCATTCCTGCTCTCAGAAGGAAGTATGGAGATATGTTGCTATTTTTGAACTGTAGTATCTGCATGCCTCTGACAAGGCAGTCATTGAATGAGTGAGGGTGAAAGTGTTTTTCTTTTTTGGGTCACCCTACCTCAGTGGGAAATGGCCAATGTGTGAAAAAAAAAAAAAAAATGTACCATATCAACTTTTAGTTAAATACACCTACCATCTGACTTACGACCTGCTCGACTTACGACCACTTGACTTACGACCGTGTTTCTTATGCCAAATTTCTAGGAAATAAACAACTATTTGTGTTGTACACAGTGTTTATCCTAAACCTTACAGTATAAAATACAGTACTAACAGCATAAAAAGTAAAGTAAAACATGAAATACCAAAATAAAACAATAAAATTAAGTCATTACAAAAATGTGATGTTGATATTCAGTAGTAAAGTTCGACTTACGACCATTTCGACTTACGACCGGTTTCTCGGAACCGAACTCGGTCGTAAGTCGGATGGTAGGTGTATATAAAACTTTAAACGGTTGACTGTTAATGGTAAAGAAAGACTGTTCCACTTCTCTTTTGCTATTAAATTAAGACCCCTCAAGGGAGGTTCATTGATGCTGGTGAGGGGGCTCTTGATCCAAGAAATTGGAATTGTACTCCCCTACCTTTGATCATATCTGAATGCCTGCCATTCCTCTCAGCACTGTATGGCTCCTATGGGTTTAGTGCTCCCCATGATGATAGTAATAATAATTAATTTAGACATTTTTCATTCTTTCAGAAAAGACCTGGTATGCCAGAAAAACCAGCTGGAGTATCAGAACCATTGACTCCACATTTCAGCTCTGTTCAAGAACCCAGAGGTTAGTTGTGTAGTATTTATAATGTCCTCTTTTCTTGCTTTCAAATATGCAATCTTTCTATATAGCTTCATTTAAATATTCCAGACTTTTACAATATTAATTTGGAGCCTTAATTTTCTTTAATCTCAATGGCCTTTTCTTGCCCAGATAGGGTGACTCCAGAAAAAGGAAACTCGTTCACCATTATTCATTCAATAACTGTCTTGTCAGAAGTGCAGCTGCATTACAAATCAAGTGAGCCTCTGAACTGCCATACAGTATATATTCCAACCCCTCCTGAGTGCAGTCACTGTACTCTTACCTCCAAGACAACTAGTTATATTGTTTAATATAATGTTGAGTGTATTGTAGGCTTTATTAACTTATTGTGCTTGGGTCCCTTCCTTTATGCTAAATCAGACGATAAACACTTTATTTTACATAATAAGAATATGTAACATGTTTCCTGAATTACACTGATCGCATATGGTTAATGTTTAGTAAACCCTTGATTTAAACGAATTTCAGAAATATGGGACAAAATTCTCTGGGTCATTTGATTCAGAAAGAACAAAGTCTATCAGTAACAAAATTGTCTGTTATTATAATCATGTCACAAAGTCTCATCCTTATCCATCACTGTCTCCATTACCGGCCACCCACTCTCCTCCATTAGTCTGTTTAGTCAAGAGTTCACAGTATATTGCATGGTCAGAATTACTGATACAAATAGGACAGAATAATAAAGGAGGGGTTTGGGATATTGGCAGTTTGGAGGGATATGTTGTGTATTTTTATACATATATGCTTCTAAACTGTTGTATTCTGAGCACCTCTGCAAAAACAGTGATAATGTGTGAGTGTGGTGAAAGTGTTGAATGATGATGAAAGCATTTTCTTTTTGGGGATTTTCTTTCTTTTTTGGGTCACCCTGCCTCGGTGGGAGACTGCCGACTTGTTGAAAAAAAAAAAAATAGTTAATTCACCTAAAGCTAACCTGTACTAAGCAAAAGAGAATATTTGTGTTCCACATCTATGTCTACAAGGTCTTTATAATTAAAGATTCGAATTCAAATTTCAGAAATGATCTGCTATCAATTTTAAATATTTGACAGGCTCTCAGGTGCCTTAACTACTGTAAAAGAAAATTTGTTTTGCTACTTTCTTACATTTTGTCTTATTGCAGATCAGCATGCAAAGTCAACAGGCGACATCCGTCGTCGTAAGAGGAGATGTAGAAGTGCTTGGTCTCGAGGAGAAATTAAATCTCCAAAGAAGAAGAGAATAATTGAGAAGGATCCAGCCGAAAAGAAAGATTTAGAAATAGACAGTGAACAGACAAAAACGTTAGAGGGGGTGAATGAAGCAGAGAAAAGTACAAGTTTACAGTTAGCAGACAAACATGCAGATGATGGAGAGAGGAGTGACGATGATGTTAGCGTTCACTCCACTTGCAATTCAGAAGAAAGAGAAAGAAATGTAAAGGGTTCATTAATTTCAAAAGATCGCCCAGATGAGGTAAGAGAAATGCTTCATTGTCTTTAAACATAGCTTTCTTTATTTTGATGCATTTTTCATAATTTATTTTTTTTATTATCACACTGGCCGATTCTCACCAAGGCAGGGTGGCCTGAAAAAGAAAAACTTTCACCATCATTCGCTCCATCACTGTCTTGCCAGAAGGGTGCTTTACACTACAGTTTTTAAACTGCAACATTAACACCCCTCCTTCAGAGTGCAGGCACTGTACTTCCCATCTCCAGGACTCAAGTCCGGCCTGCCGGTTTCCCTGAACCCCTTCATAAATGTTACTTAGCTCACACTCCAACAGCACGTCAAGTATTAAAAACCATTTGTCTCCATTCACTCCTATCAAACACGCTCACGCATGCCTGCTGGAAGTCCAAGCCCCTCACACACAAAACCTCCTTTACCCCCTCCCTCCAACCTTTCCTAGGCCGACCCCTACCCGCCTTCCTTCCACTACAGACTGATACACTCTTGAAGTCATTCTGTTTCGCTCCATTCTCTCTACATGTCCGAACCACCTCAACAACCCTTCCTCAGCCCTCTGGACAACATTTTTGGTAATCCCGCACCTCCTCCTAACTTCCAAACTACGAATTCTCTGCATTATATTCACACCACACATTGCCCTCAGACATGACATCTCCACTGCCTCCAGCCTTCTCCTCGCTGCAACATTCATCACCCATGCTTCACACCCATATAAGAGCGTTGTAAAACTATACTCTCATACATTCCCCTCTTTGCCTCCAAGGACAAAGTTCTTTATCTCCACAGACTCCTAAGTGCACCACTCACCCTTTTCCCCTCATCAAATCTATGATTCACCTCATCTTTCATAGACCCATCCGCTGACAACGTCCACTCCCAAATATCTGAATACATTCACCTCCTCCATACTCTCTCCCTCCAATCTGATATCCAATCTTTCATCACCTAATCTTTTTATCCTCATAACCTTACTCTTTCCTGTATTCACTTTTAATTTTCTTCTTTTGCATACCCTACCAAATTCATCCACCAATCTCTGCAACTTCTCTTCAGAATCTCCCAAGAGCACAGTGTCATCAGCAAAGAGCAACTGTGACAACTCCCACTTTGTGTGATTCTTCATCTTTTAACTCCACGCCTCTTGCCAAGACCCTCGCATTTACTTCTCTTACAACCCTACCTATAAATATATTAAACAATCATGGTGACATCACACATCCTTGTCTAAGTCCTACTTTTACTGGGAAATAATTTCCCACATTCCTACATACTCTAACTTGAGCCTCACTATCCTCATAAAAAACTCTTCACTGCTTTCAGTAACCTACCTCCTACACCATACATGTGCAACATCTGCCACATTGCCCCCCTATCCACCCTGTCATACACCTTTCCAAATCCATAAATGCCACAAAGGCCTCTTTAGCCTTATCTAAATACTGTTCACTTATGTGTTTCACTGTAAACACCTGGTCCACACACCCCCTACCTTTCCTAAAGCCTCCTTGTTCATCTGCTATCCTATTCTCCGTCTTACTCTTAATTCTTTCAATAATAACTCAACCATACACTTTACCGGGTATACTCAACAGACTTATTCCCCTATAATTTTTGCACTCTCTTTTGTCCCCTTTTCCTTTATACAGAGAAACTATGCATGCTCTCTGCCAATCCCTAGGTACCTTACCTTCTTCCATACATTTATTAAATAATTGCACCAACCACTCCAAAACTATATCCCCACCTGCTTTTAACATTTCTATCTTTATCCCATCAATCCCGGCTGCCTTACCCCCTTTCATTTTACCTGCTGCCTCACGAACTTCCCCCACACTCACAACTGGCTCTTCCTCACTCCTACAAGATGTTATTCCTCCTTGCCATATACATGAAATCACAGCTTCCCTATCTTCATCAACGTTTAACAATTCCTTGAAATATTCCCTCCATCTTCCCAATACCTCTAACTCTCCATTTAATAACTCTCCTCTCCTATTTTTAACTGACAAATGCATTTTTTTCTCTAGGCTTCCTTAACTTGTTAATCTCACTCCAAAACTTTTTCTTATTTTCAACAAAATTTTTGATAACATCTCACCCACTCTCTCATTTGCTCTCTTTTTACATTGCTTCACCACTCTCTTAACCTCTCTTTTTCTCCATATACTCTTCCCTCCTTGCTTCACTTCTACTTTGTAAAAACTTCTCATATGCTAACTTTTTTTCATAATGTAACTTTAATAGTAAGAAAAAAAGTTAAGTAAATGTTTGTGCATATCATACAGTGAAGTAAATACGTATGATTTAAATAAGATATTTGTCCTGCCATGGTGGTAGATGCCCGATTTGTTGCAGTAGTATGCAGCACAAGAGCATACTACTAGGCATCAATTCACTCTGGAAGCTTTGTCATTTCAATACAGGGCATGAGAAATTAGCAGCTTGTGCAAAGATGAGTGGGGGGGGGGGTTGAAGATGGTTTTAAAAATGCAGTATTAGAATGTGGGGCAGAAGTTTGTGGTTATAGGAGGGTGGGGGCAGGAGGAAAGAAGAGTGATTGGTGGAATGATGAAGTAAAGGGTGTGATAAAAGAGAAAAAGTTAGCTTATGAGAGGTTTTTACAAAGCAAAAGTATTATAAGAAGAGCAGAGTATATGGAGAGTAAAAGAAAGGTGAAGAGAGTGCAAAAGGAGAGCAGATGATATAGTGGGAGAGGCACTGTCAAGAAATTTTAATGAAAATAAGAAAAATTTTTGGAGTGAGTTAAACAAGTTAAGAAAGCCTAGGGAACGTATGGATTTGTCCGTTAAAAACAGAGTAGGGGAGTTAATAGATGGGGAGAGGGAGGTATTAGGTAGATGGCGAGAATATTTTGAGGAACTTCTAAATGTTGAGGAAGAAAGGGAGGCGGTAATTTCATGCACTGGCCAGGGAGGTATACCATCTTTTAGGAGTGAAGAAGAGCAGAATGTAAGTGTGGGGGAGGTACGTGAGGCATTACGTAGAATGAAAGGGGGTAAAGCAGCTGGAACTGATGGGATCATGACATAAATGTTAAAAGCAGGGAGGGGATATAGTGTTAGAGTGGTTGGGACCTTTGTTTAATAAATGTATGAAAGAGGGGAAAGTACCTAGGGATTGGCGGAGAGCATGTATAGTCCCTTTATATAAAGGGAAGGGGGACAAAAGAGATTGTAAAAATTATAGAGGAATAAGTTTACTGAGTAAACTTATGGTAGGATTATTATTCAAAGAATTAGAGGTAAGACAGAATGTAGGATTGTGGGTGAGCAAGGAGGTTTCAGAGTGGGTAGGGGATGTGTAGATCAAGTGTTTACATTGAAGCATATATGTGAACAGTATTTAGATAAAGGTAGGGAAGTTTTTATTGCATTTATGGATTTAGAAAAGGCATATGATAGAGTGGATAGGGGAGCAATGTGGCAGATGTTGCAAGTATATGGACTAGGTGGTAAGTTACTAAATGCTGTAAAGAGTTTTTATGAGGATAGTGAGGCTCAGGTTAGGGTGTGTAGAAGAGAGGGAGACTACTTCCCGGTAAAAGTAGGTCTTAGACAGGGATGTGTAATGTCACCATGGTTGTTTAATATATTTATAGATGGGGTTGTAAAAGAAGTAAATGCTAGGGTGTTTGGGAGAAGGGTGGGATTAAATTATGGGGAATCAAATACAAAATGGGAATTGACACAGTTACTTTTTGCTGATGATACTGTGCTTATGGGAGATTCTAAAGAAAAATTGCAAATGTTAGTGGATGAGTTTGGGAGTGTGTCTAAAGGTAGAAAGTTGAAAGTGAACATAGAAAAGAGTAAGGTGATGAGGGTATCAAATGATTTAGATAAAGAAAAATTGGATATCAAATTGGGGAGGAGGAGTATGGAAGAAGTGAATGTTTTCAGATACTTGGGAGTTGACGTGTCGGCGGATGGATTTATGAAGGATGAGGTTAATCATAGAATTGATGAGGGAAAAAAGGTGAGTAGTGCGTTGAGGTATATGTGGAGTCAAAAAACGTTATCTATGGAGGCAAAGAAGGGAATGTATGAAAGTATAGTAGTACCAACACTCTTATATGGGTGTGAAGCTTGGGTTGTGAATGTAGCAGCGAGGAGGCAGTTGGAGGCAGTGGAGATGTCCTATCTAAGGGCAATGTGTGGTGTAAATATTATGCAGAAAATTCGGAGTGTGGAAATTAGGAGAAGGTGTGGAGTTAATAAAAGTATTAGTCAGAGGGCTGCTGAAGAGGGGTTGTTGAGGTGGTTTGGTCATTTAGAGAGAATGGATCAAAGTAGAATGACATATAGAGCATTTAAATCTGTAGGAGAAGGAAGACGAGGTAGGGGTCGTCCTCGAAAAGGTTGGAAGGAAGGGGTAAGGTAGGTTTTGTGGGCGAGGGGCTTGGACTTCCAGCAGGTGTGCATGAGCGTGTTCGATAGGAGTGAATGGAGACGAATGGTATTTGGGACCTGACGATCTGTTGGGGTGTGAACAGGGTAATATTTAGTGAAGGGATTCAGGGAAACCGGTTATTTTTATATAGCCGGACTTGAGACCTGGAAATGGGAAGTACAATGCCTGCACTCTAAAGGAGGGATTTTGGGATATTAGCAGTTTGGAGGGATATGTTATGTATCTTTATACGTATATGTTTCCTAACTGTTGTGTTCTGAGCACCTCTGCAAAAACAGTGATTATGTGTGAGTGAGGTGAAAGTGTTGAATGATGATGAAAGTATTTTCTTTTTGGGGATTTTCTTTCTTTTTGGGTCACTGTGCCTCAGTGGGAGATGGCCGACTTGTTGAAAAAAAAAAATGAGGTGTAGGAGGCAACAGGTCAGTGATGTGTAGGTGACGTCACCCGAGAACGGTGTCTTGCCAGGCTAGCATCAGGTTGGCCAGCATGCTTGAAGTGTTAAAACTACTGGTTTTATGGGTTTATTGTTGGAAAATACAATCAATCCAGCTTCAAGGAAGCATCTTTCTGAAGAATGGGCTTAGTTGATTTCTAGCCTCGTCTCTCTCCACTTCATCTGATGGTCAAGGAAACTACAGTGACAGCAAGGGTAGTTTCAGTTCTTTGATCCTGAGCCTTTCAATAGTATCAACACACACACACCTCTTCCCTACTTTCAAAGGGCATGGATGGTGAGCTCATGTGCAAAAGAAAGATATCAAAGTTAGTGAAATAATAAGAAATCAGTCTGGTTCCCCTTAACCCTCTCGGAGGGCTTTGAAGCCCGGGTCTGTCTCGTTGTTCTACGTGATGAGCTCAGCTCTCTCAAATAAGCAGTGAGCAGTATATTTGGGCCTAGATATGAGAAAATGGGTTTATGCGGTAATTGTGCTCCGTCTAAGACAGTGAATTTGCAGTGTTTTCTCGTATGGTTTTTATGGTTGTGTTTTCATTTTTGTTTTTTTGGTCTCATTTGATAGCATGGAAGATATATTACAGAAATAAACATGATTTTTATTGGTTTCAGTACCAAAAGGAGCTTGAAATTGAGCTCAGATTATCAGAAATGTTTGATTGTTGACTATATTCCAGAATACACAAATTGTCACTCGTCCAGTACGTGTCCAACTGGCTAGTCTAATATGCATTCACGAATGCTTTTACATTATTTATACAGTTATTACAATAATGCAGTCTCCATAACAGTAAATCTTCTATTTTTTGTGTAAATGAAAATTAAAAATAGAAAAAGTGTAATGTAGGAGAGGCTTGGGGACATAACTAATGAAGAAAGGAAATGTTGTTTTAGTGCCAGGAATGTCTACATTGTTTATTCTGGACCATATTTTGAAATTGGCAATTTTTTAAATTTGTGTGAAATTGGCCAAATTGCCAATTTCTGTGCACTTTATGGGTAGTTGAATGGGCGGTTTCTTATACACAGTAGAATAGAAGGAATACTAGTGAAATAGCTATGAGTTTGGTGGACTGGTTCAATGGAATTGGCGAAATTGCCAGTTTGCAAGAGCTTAATTCGGTACATATTCTATCAAATTTCGTATTTTTTATTTCTTTGCCTTCGAAAAAAGATTCGCTATCATTTCATAAGAATTTTTTTTTTTTTTTTTTAATTCTCAGACCCTGAGAGCAAATTTGAAATCAGGGGCTCTGACCCTGAAAGAGTTCAGAGAAGTTTCTTGATGCTGGAGAAGGGGTTATTGATCCATGGTATAGGACTTCTCCTCCTCTTCCTTGGATAGAACCTGATTGCCTCTCATTCCCCAGGTACTGTTAACCTTCAACTGTCGAACTAATGAACAAAGGAAATATTGTTTTAGTACCAGGAATATCTACATTGATTTTTCTGAACCCTATTTTTGTGTTGGCAATTTTTTAATTTTGTGTAAAAATGGCCAAATTACCCATTTCTAATCATTTTGTTGAAGTAGTTAAATGGGTGGTTTCTTGTACTCATTAGATTGGAAGGCATATTAGCGAAAGAGCCAAAAGTCTCGTTGACTGGAACATTGGATTTGGCCTAAATTAGAACTAAAAGTGGGTTAAGTTGCCAATGTGTAAATATTGCCAAGACTGCTAACTTTGCAAAAGTGTAATTCTGTAAGTTTTTCATCAAATTTTGTACCTACGGAAAAAAGATGCTCTTATCATTTTGTAAGAATTTTCTTTTTTTTAAATTCTTGGACCCTGAGAGTAATTTTCAGATCAGGGTTCTGCACTCTGAAAGGGTTGAATGCCTTTATGAGCTTCACTCCCACTGAATTATTGCTTAGCTCATTCTGCTTATTTATCTTTTTGACATTGATAAGATACTACTAAATATACTTGTGGCTTATTTGAGCATATAATTGTCATACAAGCCCCCTTGTTCTTGTAGTGTCCTTGGCAATGATCTTATCCCTGGCATACTGTCCTGTATATAATAGGATAGAAGACAGCAACCATTCAAGGAGGCCTATTAAACATTGTCTAATGCATACTATAGTAGCATTGTTGATCTTTTTACTTCCTGTACATGTAAAATGGCAGGTAAATTAAAAAAAAACCTTCCTGTGTTTCTTAGTTTTTTCCATTATACAGTATTTGCTTTCTAATTTAAGAGTTCTGGTTTAAGAGTGGGTTGCAGGGGTCATGATCCCTAGAACCATCAGCAGATTTCAACACGTGTATGCCAGTAACATGTAAGGATCATATCTACTGTTTTTTTTTATTTCTCCAGTTCTTGTATTTATTTTTAGATCATTCACCTCACTTCAGTTATTAGGCTTGATACACTCTGAAGCTTTGCTTTAACTAATTGAGGGTTCACACAGTGCTGTACACTCAGGAATGGGTTGTATGTATGTACAAGAAGTAGCATTTTAAATGAGCCTGTTTAAGGTCCTGAATGCCACTAATTTTTGAAAGCATTTGGGATACTGTTGTGTTTTTTCTAGTTGAGCATAGACTGGCCTTCTGGTCCCAGTGCTTGATAAATTCTGCAGTAGTTTTTTCTAGTTAAAAAGAGGCATGGGTGGCTAGTGAGTTGCCATGGTAATTTTTTTTATTTTTTAAATATTTTTGTTACTCCATGGTGACTAAAATGCCAGGAGCAAGGAGCTAGTAACCCCTTTTGTATAAATTACTAAATATAAAAAGAAGAAAACTTTGTTTCTTCTTCTTTTTTTTTTTGTCACCCTGCCTAGGTGGGAGATAGCTGGTGTGTTAAAAAAAACAAAATATGTCTTTTAAGGCTTCCTTTTATTTGAAACAAAACTTAGTTGATGTTGCTTCTAGCTGCTTCAGTAATGTTGTTCTGTGTATATATATATATATATACAGTATCAGACATAAGCTGAGCTAAAAAATTTAAAAAATTCAAGAATTTTATAGCAATTTCCTCACAAAATTAGCTGATAGCACCAAGTTAGGTAGCTGTCTCTAATAAGGTGTGCATTATGTAGTATTTTTGGTAGTGTGTTCAGTGATTAGATTTTCTTTGTGAACTCTTGTCATAAATGTGATTGTTTTCTCCTCAGGTTCATGTTGATTCTGAGGTTGTTCTATATAATGGTCATCTGAGCACAGAAGACAGCCATGATAGTATGAAGGTAACTTCTGCTGCTGATGAACTTGCTGCCCAAGCTTCTACCTCAAATACAATGAAAGAATCGAGGGATATCAGCAAAGAGGAGAGGGAGGATAAGGTGCTCGACACTACAGTGGAGACTGAAGATTCTGTTGGTAAGTAAAATGAATAACTAGTTTAATTTTGATGCTGGTGACATACAAACATGACAGTTCTTTTTAAGTTGATGTGAAAAATTACTAATTTTTCTGTATCTTATTGTGAGTCATTGTTCATTAATACTACTTTTGCACCATTACAAATGCATTTCACAAAATAATTGTTTATCAAGACATACATTAGACTGCATTTTTCCAGGGACTCCCATTGTATACAATATATGATCATTTATCTAGTAATGATTATTTGACATTACCTGGCACATCTTACTCTATCTGGCAAAATGTTGTGTTATCCATACCAAGCTAAAAAGCCAACCCATTTTTCAGCTGAAATAGGTGGTACATTTCCTCTATTTTTTTTTTCCAACAAGTTGGCAATCTCCCACCGAGGCAGGGTGACCCAAAAAGAAAGAAAATCCCCAAAAAGAAAATACATTCATCATCATTCAACATTTTCACCTTACTCACACATAATCACTGTCTTTGCAGAGGTGCCCAGATACAACAGTTTAGAAGCATATATAAAGATATATAACATATCCCTCCAAACTGCCAGTATCCCAAATCCCTCCTTTAAAGTGCAGGCACTGTACTTCCCATTTCCAGTACTCAAGTCCGGCTATATAAAAATAATTGGTTTCCCTGAATCTCTTAACTAAATATTACCCTGCTCACACTTCAACAGCGTGTCAGGTCCCAAAACTCATTCATCTCCATTCACTCCTATCTAACACGCTCACACATGCTTGCTGGAAGTCCAAACCCCTCGCCCACAAAACCTCCTTTACCCCCTCCCTCCAACCTTTTCGAGGATGACCCCTACCCCTCCTTCCTTCCTCTACAGATTTATACACTCTTCAAGTCATTCTGCTTTGATTCATTCTCTCTAAATGACCAAACCACCTCAACAACCCCACTTCAGCCCTCTATCTAGTATCCATAATTCATTCCAAGCCTGTGGCTTGAAATGAATTATATATATAGTTTCATTTGTTTAATGAATTGTTTTGATGATTTGTAATGACAGGAAGTGTCACAGTAGCAGCAAGTTGGTATTTATAATAGAAAATTTTCAAGTTAGTTGAAATTCATAATAATGGCTGCAAATTAATGTTAGCAACTGATGTTCAAAGCCCTAAATAACCAAAGCGCTCTACAGCTCTGTAAATTATACAATTTAATATGGAGCCTATTTAAGGTGTTTAGCTCTGGCTCCTGGTACTCCTAAGGATTAGGTTCAGTTTGTCCTTTATACATATATACTGTATAGCACCTTGGGGATTGAACTCTAGTTTGTGGTCTTGTGTGTATGTTGGCGGGTGTGAGAGTTAATGATGAAGATTGTGGATTTGGGTGAGTGGATTAGTGGGTGGTTAGGTGGATGGATAGATGAGTGAGTGGTGGGTGAGTAGGTAGGTGGATGGATGAGTGAGTGAGGAAAGGAAACAATACTGTAGGTATAGTACAAACTTTTATGCTTCTTCAACTGCAATACAAGCATGAGTCACCAAAGCTTTAAAGTGTTACTTTTAACTGCATATATACTAAACATTTTTAGCGTTCATATTGTAATACCTTATACAGTAGACCCTCGTTTTTCATAACCATCGGAAGTCTTAATTTTTTAAAATCGTAACTTTTTTCATCAAAATATTGACTCAAATAGTCGTTCGTCCCAGATACATATGCATGGCTCCGAGCGGCCCCACACTACATTCACAGCCAGCGTGCCATTATTTATCATACGATACATTTTGTAATGTTCCATTTGTTTTAGTGCTTGCAACTGCTAAATAAGCCACCGTGGCCCCAAAGAAAGCTCCTAGTGCCAGGCCTTTGATAAAGGTGAGAAACATGATAGAATTCAAGAAAGAACCCATAGCAAAGTACCAAAGTGGAGGAGGAAGAGAAAGGGGAGAATGTACCTTCTTCAGTGATTCTATGATATGTACGATACTAAAGCAGCACGAGTCGATAAAGGCTATAGCGCCAGCCAGCGATAAAGTGTAGCATTAACAGTGTAGCAAGTAAGTTAAGCGATTAATTGATAGACAAAGGACAGTACAAACCTAACTCCTTCAATGTTGTTGGAGTTATATAGGGCTACTGACAACACCACTGCCCTCCACCACCACTATGTACAGCGTATGCTCTGAGTGGCCCTTGTACACCCAACAACAAAACACATCATCACTCGTGACATACGTAATGACATTTTTTATTCATTCTAGAGTACCTGTCATGTTTTTGTGTTATTAATATTGTTTATTATGTCATATTAGATGAATTGTAATGTCACCATGGTTGTTTAATATATTTATAGATGGGGTTGTAAAGGAAGTAAATGCTAGGGTGTTCGGGAGAGGGGTGGGATTAAATTTTGGGGAATCAAATTCAAAATGGGAATTGACACAGTTACTTTTTGCTGATGATACTGTGCTTATGGGAGATTCTAAAGAAAAATTGCAAAGGTTAGTAGATGAGTTTGGGAATGTGTGTAAAGGCAGAAAGTTGAAAGTGAACATAGAAAAGAGTAAGGTGATGAGGGTGTCAAATGATTTAGATAAAGAAAAATTGGATATCAAATTGGGGAGGAGGAGCATGGAAGAAGTGAATGTTTTCAGATACTTGGGAGTTGACGTGTCGGCGGATGGATTTATGAAGGATGAGGTTAATCGTAGAATTGATGAGGGAAAAAAGGTGAGTGGTGCATTGAGGTATATGTGGAGTCAAAAAACATTATCTATGGAGGCAAAGAAGGGAATGTATGAAAGTATAGTAGTACCAACACTCTTATATGGGTGTGAAGCTTGGGTGGTAAATGCAGCAGCGAGGAGACGGTTGGAGGCAGTGGAGATGTCCTGTTTAAGGGCAGTGTGTGGTGTAAATATTATGCAGAAAATTCGGAGTGTGGAAATTAGGAAAAGGTGTGGAGTTAATAAAAGTATTAGTCAGAGGGCAGAAGAGGGGTTGTTGAGGTGGTTTGGTCATTTAGAGAGAATGGATAAAAGTAGAATGACATGGAAAGCATATAAATCTATAGGGGAAGGAAGGCGGGGTAGGGGTCGTCCTCGAAAGGGTTGGAGAGAGGGGGTAAAGGAGGTTTTGTGGACAAGGGGCTTGGACTTCCAGCAAGCGTGCGTGAGCGTGTTAGATAGGAGTGAATGGAGACGAATGGTACTTGGGACCTGACAATCTGTTGGAGTGTGAGCAGGGTAATATTTAGTGAAGGGATACAGGGAAACCGGTTATTTTCATATAGTCGGACTTGAGTCCTGGAAATGGGAAGTACGATGCCTGCACTTTAAAGGAGGGGTTTGTGATATTGGCAGTTTGGAGGGATATGTTGTGTATCTTTATATGTGTATGCTTCTAAACTGTTGTATTCTGAGCACCTCTGCAAAAACAGTGATAATGTGCGAGTGTGATGAAAGTGTTGAATGATGATGAAAGTATTTTTTTGGGGGGATTTTCTTTCTTTTTTGGGTCACCCTGCCTCGGTTGGAGATGGCCGACTTGTTGAAAAAAAAAAAAAAAAGATGAATTGTGATAGATAAATAAGCTGTAGAGTTGATATTAGTGCCATATTGAAGGACTATCTTGTCCTGCCTCCAAATCCTGCCGCTGCCACAATTCCTAACATATGTAATGACATATTTTATTCATACACCAACAAGAATTTCAGTAAAAGTAAGTGTGATGTTAGTATTGTTTTATTCTTCATGTCTCATTGTTTTCTGTGTATGTAAATCTATATTTCGTGTAAAAACAATATTTTTTTGTCGCTACTTTTGGTCTGAAACAGAGTACATAATTGTATTTGCATTATTTCTTATGGGGAAAATGGTTTCGCAAATCGCCAGTTTCGCCGTTAGTCACACTCTGGAACAGATTAATTATGAAAAACGAGGGTCCACTGTGTGATATAATATCTATTTAACATGGTAAATATTCTTTCTCAGTATCATCATCAGAGCAAGGAAATGGCAGTGGGCCCTCAAGGTGCAATGGAATCACTATTGACTGGGGTCATTTGGAAGCTGTTTATGAATCATGCATTTCTGCCACCGAGGATTCCACTGTAGACGAGTTGCTGCGTCTGCATACTTCAATTTCTTCACTTATATACAAGCACTTAGGAAATACAAACCGTCTTCACCTTCTTCAGGTTTGTAGAGCTATGACATATCATGAATTTGTATAGCCACAAGATTTTGGACTTCAGTAGAAAAATGTGGTAGAAAATCATTTGAGCTCTAATGAGAGCAAAACTTAGTCTATAATAAAGGCCTGCTATGCATCGTGTTTTTCAGCCATATATCTGCAATGTCTGCCGTTCTACATTTGAAAACAAAAATTACCAAAATCTTGTGTCTACTGAAAATATTGGGCAAGAGCATATGACTACTATATCTATTTCTTGTTAACCCTTAAACTGTCCAAACAAATCTAGGTTCACATGCGTAGTGCTCCAAAAGTAGATTACCTTTTTTTTTTACATATTTTCAAATATAACAAAAAAAATGTAGATCAAAGTTTTTTACACGTTTTCAAATGTAAAAAAAAAAAAAAAAGAGCTTTACATTTTTTACATACTTTCAAATGTTGAAAAAACGTAGATCTACGTTTGGACAGTTTAAGGGTTAAAGGAGTACAGATGCTCCTCGACTTGCGATGGGGTTAGGTTCCAATGAACCCATGGTAAGTTGAAAATATTTTAAGTCATATGTGAATATATGATATGATAAAAAAAGAAGTAAATAAATACCTACTGTCACTGAATAAGTTAATAAAAAATAATTTCTGTAACTCATTAAATACCAGTATTAAAGGGCACGTTGTTTTGATGACAATATTCTTTCACCTGGGGTATTAAACGGTTCAAAAACCATTCTTCTAACAATGCTAATATCATCCAGGCTTGTTATGGCAATAATAGATGGGAAGCATATGCTTGCTCAAGTTCTTGAATGTTCTGGGGTTCTCAGAGTGGTAGATTAGAAAAGGCTTCAGTTTAAACCCAGCAACATTTCCACCCAGAAGCAGTGCAACATGATCTTTGAATGCTTTGAATGCCGATATAGTAAAGTTGAAAAATTATAAGTTGAACCATTGTAAAGTGAGGAACATCTCTATACCTGTGGGCCTATTGTTGCATCTCTTTTTAATATGTAGGTAGTAGGTTGGTAGACAGCAACCACCCAGGGAAGTACTACCGTCCTGCCAGATGACTGTGAAACAAAAACCTGTAACTGTTTTGCATGATGGTAGGATTGCTGGTTTCTTTTTCTGTCTCATAAACACGCTAAGATAACAGGGATATCTTGCTACTCCTACTTACACTTTGGTCACACTTCACAGACACGCACATGCATATATATATATATACATACATCTAGGTTTTTCTCCCTTTTCTAAATAGCTCTTGTTCTTTTTTATTTCTTCTATTGTCCATGGGGAAGTGGAAAAGAATCTTTCCTCCGTAAGCCATGCGTGTCGTATGAGGGGACTAAAATGCCGGGAGCAATGGGCTAGTAACCCCTTCTCCTGTATACAATTACTAAAAAAGAGAAGAAGAAAAACTTTATAAAACTGGGTTGCTTAAATGTGCGTGGATGTAGTGCGGATGACAAGAAACAGATGATTGCTGATGTTATGAATGAAAAGAAGTTGGATGTCCTGGCCCTAAGCGAAACAAAGCTGAAGGGGGTAGGAGAGTTTCAGTGGGGGAAATAAATGGGATTAAATCTGGAGTATCTGAGAGAGTTAGAGCAAAGGAAGGGGTAGCAGTAATGTTAAATGATCAGTTATGGAAGGAGAAAAGAGAATATGAATGTGTAAATTCAAGAATTATGTGGATTAAAGTAAAGGTTGGATGCGAGAAGTGGGTCATAATAAGCGTGTATGCACCTGGAGAAGAGAGGAATGCAGAGGAGAGAGAGAGATTTTGGGAGATGTTAAGTGAATGTATAGGAGCCTTTGAACCAAGTGAGAGAGTAATTGTGGTAGGGGACTTGAATGCTAAAGTAGGAGAAACTTTTAGAGAGGGTGTGGTAGGTAAGTTTGGGGTGCCAGGTGTAAATGATAATGGGAGCCCTTTGATTGAACTTTGTATAGAAAGGGGTTTAGTTATAGGTAATACATATTTTAAGAAAAAGAGGATAAATAAGTATACACGATATGATGTAGGGCGAAATGACAGTAGTTTGTTGGATTATGTATTGGTAGATAAAAGACTGTTGAGTAGACTTCAGGATGTACATGTTTATAGAGGGGCCACAGATATATCAGATCACTTTCTAGTTGTAGCTACACTGAGAGTAAAAGGTAGATGGGATACAAGGAGAATAGAAGCATCAGGGAAGAGAGAGGTGAAGGTTTATAAACTAAAAGAGGAGGCAGTTAGGGTAAGATATAAACAGCTATTGGAGGATAGATGGGCTAATGAGAGCATAGGCAATGGGGTCGAAGAGGTATGGGGTAGGTTTAAAAATGTAGTGTTAGAGTGTTCAGCAGAAGTTTGTGGTTACAGGAAAGTGGGTGCAGGAGGGAAGAGGAGCGATTGGTGGAATGATGATCTAAAGAGAGTAGTAAGGGAGAAAAAGTTAGCATATGAGAAGTTTTTACAAAGTAGAAGTGATGCAAGGAGGGAAGAGTATATGGAGAAAAAGAGAGAAGTTAAGAGAGTGGTGAAGCAATGTAAAAAGAGAGCAAATGAGAGAGTGGGTGAGATGTTATCAACAAATTTTGTTGAAAATAAGAAAAGTTTTGGAGTGAGATTAACAAGTTAAGAAAGCCTAGAGAACAAATGGATTTGTCAGTTAAAAATAGGAGAGGAGAGTTATTAAATGGAGAGTTAGAGGTATTGGGAAGATGGAAGGAATATTTTGAGGAATTGTTAAATGTTGATGAAGATAGGGAAGCTGTGATTTCGTGTATAGGGCAAGGAGGAATAACATCTTGTAGGAGTGAGGAAGAGCCAGTTGTGAGTGTGGGGGAAGTTCGTGAGGCAGTAGGTAAAATGAAAGGGGGTAAGGCAGCCGGGATTGATGGGATAAAGATAGAAATGTTAAAAGCAGGTGGGATATAGTTTTGGGGGTTGGTGCAATTATTTAATAAATGTATGGAAGAGGGTAAGGTACCTAGGATTGGCAGAGAGCATGCATAGTTCCTTTGTATAAAGGCAAAGGGGATAAAAGAGAGTGCAAAATTATAGGGGATAAGTCTGTTGAGTGTACCTGGTAAGTGTATGGTAGAGTTATAATTGAAAGAATTAAGAGTAAGACGGAGAATAGGATAGCAGATGAACAAGGAGGCTTTAGGAAAGGTAGGGGGTGTGTGGACCAGGTGTTTACAGTGAAACATATAAGTGAACAGTATTTAGATAAGGCTAAAGAGGTCTTTGTGGCATTTATGGATTTGGAAAAGGCGTATGACAGGGTGGGTAGGGGGGCAATGTGGCAGATGTTGCAAGTGTATGGTGTAGGAGGTAGGTTACTGAAAGCAGTGAAGAGTTTTTTAAAGAGGATAGTGAGGCTCAAGTTAGAGTATGTAGGAAAGAGGAAATTTTTTCCCAGTAAAGTAGGCCTTAGACAAGGATGTGTGATGTCACCGTGGTTGTTTAAAAATATTTATAGATGGGGTTGTAAGAGAAGTAAATGCGAGGGTCTTGGCAAGAGGCGTGGAGTTAAAAGATAAAGAATCACACACAAAGTGGGAGTTGTCACAGCTGCTCTTTGCTGATGACACTGTGCTCTTGGGAGATTCTGAAGAGAAGTTGCAGAGATTGGTGGATGAATTTGGTAGGGTGTGCAAAAGAAGAAAATTAAAGTGAATACAGGAAAGAGTAAGGTTATGAGGATAACAAAAAAATTAGGTGATGAAAGATTGAATATCAGATTGGAGGAGAGAGTATGGAGGAGGTGAACGTATTCAGATATTTGGGAGTGGACGTGTCAGCGGATGGGTCTATGAAAGATGAGGTGAATCATAGAATTGATGAGGGAAAAAGAGTGAGTGGTGCACTTAGGAGTCTGTGGAGACAAAGAACTTTGTCCTTGGAGGCAAAGAGGGGAATGTAATGAGAGTATAGTTTAACCAACGCTCTTATATGGGTGTGAAGCGTGGGTGATGAATGTTGCAGCAAGGAGAAGGCTGGAGGCAGTGAGAATGTCATGTCTGAGGGCAATGTGTGGTGTGAATATAATGCAGAGAATTCGTAGTTTGGAAGTTAGGAGGAGGTGCGGGATTACCAAAACTGTTGTCCAGAGGGCTGAGGAAGGGTTGTTGAGGTGGTTCGGACATGTAGAGAGAATGGAGCGAAACAGAATGACTTCAAGAGTGTATCAGTCTGTAGTGGAAGGAAGGCGGGGTAGGGGTCGGCCTAGGAAGGGTTGGAGGGAGGGGTAAAGGAGGTTTTGTGTGCGAGGGGCTTGGACTTCCAGCAGGCATGCGTGAGCGTGTTTGATAGGAGTGAATGGAGACAAATGGTTTTTAATACTTGACGTGCTGTTGGAGTGTGAGCAAAGTAACATTTATGAAGGGATTCAGGGAAACCGGCAGGCCGGACTTGAGTCCTGGAGATGGGAAGTACAGTGCCTGCACTCTGAAGGAGGGGTGTTAATGTTGCAGTTTAAAAACTGTAGTGTAAAGCACCCTTCTGGCAAGACAGTGATGGAGTGAATGATGGTGAAAGTTTTTCTTTTTCGGGCCACCCTGCCTTGGTGGGAATCGGCCGGTGTGATAATAATAAATAATAAAAATAAATATTTGTTCTTAGTTTCCAGATTTTTGTTTTGATAGTAACCTTATACAGGTACTAGACAGGTTTTTTTTGACTTGATGTGCAGTTGGAGTGGGAGCAGAGTAATATTTATGAAGGGATTCACGGAAACGGGTTAGCTGAACTAGAATCCTGAAGATAGGAAGTACAGTGCCTGGACTCTGAAAGATTGGTGTTGATATGTTGAAGTTGTTTTTTAACTGTAATGTAGGCAGGCCTCTGGCAAGACATTGATGGAGTGAATGATGGTGAAAGTGTTTCTTCTTTTTTTGGGTCAACCTGCCTTGGTGTGAAATGGCAGGTGTGTTAATAAAATAATAAAAAAAAAAATTACTCATTCACTGTGCAGGTCTCCTTTGCTTTAAGTGATGTATATGTGTGTGTTCCTAGCTTTTGGTGCATAAAGCAACTCCAATATTATATGTAAAACAGGGATTTCGTCTGACACTGCAAATTTTACATTTCATGACAGATGTACACCAAATGGTTATTTTTTTTTTCTTTTTAACACACTGGCCATTTTCCCTTGTGGTAGGGTGATCCAAAAAAGAAAAACTTTCACCATCATTCACTTCATCACTGTCTTGCCAGAGGCTCACACTCCAACAGCTCGTCAAATTGCAAAAACCATTTGCCTCCACGCCTACCTAACACACACACACACACACACACACACACACACACACACACTAGCCTTCTGGATGTCCAAACCCTCACACACAAAATCACCTTTACCTCCTCCCACCAACCTTTCCTAGGTTGACCCTTACCCCACCTTCCCTCCACAACTCATATACTAAGAAAAGTAATTTAATTAAGAAAAATAAAATCCAAAATTCGGTCATAATTCCTACATGCAAAAAAAAAAAAAAAAAAAAAAAATCAGGGGAAGGAGTTTTTTTTTTTTTTTTTTTTTTTTTTTTTTTCAAAAAAATTTATGAGCTTACCTGTTAAGCACCAAATATATAAACCTAAAATCAGTATAATTAGTCAAAAGTCCAATAACATAAAGAATTAAATTCAAAATGAACCCATTCTCTTGCTTTTTACTCTTCCTCCGTCACCAGCCACCTAGTCTGTCTTTGTCAGGATTGGAGTGCTGAGGTGGATACATAATTCTCTACTACTGTTTTCTCCTTTTCTCTACCTCCAGTATCAACATTGTGTAGGCACAACCCAGTTTTGTCTTGTTTGAGTGCTCATTTTCTTTTTGTCTTGGTGCAAGACACTTAAAAACCATTCTGATATTTTTTTTGAAAACCTATTTGATATTTTCTTTTTTTTTTATAAATGTCAGTACAAATCAGTTTACAGTCATATTTAAAAAGTTTTGCTGGGCTTGGGTGATCATATCAGAGCAAATTGATAAACATGTACAGAATTATTGGAAGAATTGGATGACCACACAAAGTAAATTTGCATACAGCAAATCTGCTGAAAACGAGGGAAACCTTTACTCATATCTTTACTGTCCTATCCATTTCTTAATACTAGTTCTTATTCTTGTAACATTTCCTTTCTAATTTAGGAGGCTTGGTCTGAAGTAGGCTGTTGGGGCAGTAGTTCCTGGAGCCATTAATAGATACCATGCAATACTGTACCTTTTCTTTAAGCCCATTCCAAAAACCTACCTCCTCGTTTTTTAAAAATACTGTCTCCATTCATGTAACATTCTTCTCTACATTCCTGTCTAATGGTGCATATATTAACGATAACCTACTTTTCCCATCATCCTCTTATTATCATTCATCATGCAGTTCGTTAATTAAAACATTGACACTTACTTTCCACAGCTGTTCATTCAACACTATTGCTGCACTTTTATTTCCTAATCTCTCAGATACAAGTAACTTGGAATTATTTTCCCTTCTTCCTATTCAGACTCTTAATTCTCTCTCAAACTTTGTTTCACTCAGTACCAAGATATTCAGTTTCCTTTCATCATGCCCTTCAAGGGGAGTGCATTTATGCTGAAGGGCTCAATCTAAGGAATTAGAGCTACCCTCCACTTCCTTTGATCAAATTTAATAACCTTTCATTTCCCAGGTGTTGTGTAACCCTTTGGGTTCAGTACTTTCCTGTCAGTGTAATAATAATTATGCATTATACAGTTATCTTTAATATTCAAGGACTTTTATACATCTCTCACTGTTCTAGGATACTGAAGCTGAAATTAGGCGTTTCACACAGTTTCACAAGAAAAGCTGAGTGTGTGTGGAGTTACAACATGACGCATACTGCCAAGCATGAAGGTTTTATGCTCTTCATGTAATCTTAAGGATCATGTGTACTGCCTATTCTGCTGTGAGATACTTATGATAGACTTATTATATTATTTAAAGAGCATTGTGTAAGGATGTTCTTTATATTTTTACTTTATTCTGATGTTAAAATTATAACCTAATTTATCAAAATCCAGATTGTGGAATATTATGTCTTAGATTGGGATTTTAGTGTTTATACAATACTGTATTACCAAAGTTCTTAAGGTATATGTGTTTTAGATTAAGTGAAGCAGTATATTATATTTACAACAGATTAGCTGTCTGTTAGGTACCTGATTATTTTGCAACCAAAATGTTTTCATTAATTTAGATGCAGTCTTGTACTGCTGCACAGGCCCAGGGGGACTTTGGTTTTTTTTCTGTTCTTTATCATTTTAGTGACATGATCAGTAATTATGAAGATTTCATCTGCATGTAGGAACACAGATAAGATTATTCACAATGCCATAAATAATTTATGAAATATCATATCTTGCACTCACACTCATTATTTTTTAAGACATTGTATCATAAAGATTTGAGAAAATCATTCTTCATGTTCTTCATAACTGGTGATATGTCTACCCATGCCCTGCCATTTTGCCATCCTTGCTCAAGGTACTAGGTTAGGGATGATTCAGATAAATATTAAATGTGTCACTGCCAGTATCATCAACCATTCACCCCACACTGCCATATTCACAGGTTTGCAATTTTAAGCTGTAGCCTAAAGTTAGGAGTGTTGATATTTCAGTGTTTGCATTAGTATTTGCTGCTACCTCTGTCTCCTTCCCACTAAGAGGTTCTCATAGAATGAAGGAATTGATAGAGTAATGTTAGTGCAAGATACGTAAGACTTGCATCACTCATGGTATTATTACCCTTTTCTTAAGAAGCAGTTAGTCTTACGAGGGGTACTTTAATGTGAAGCAGTTAGTCTTGTGAGGGGGCACTTAAGGGGCATGTCAGTTCCCCTGTCATCTAATATGTTATTTTTTTCCTATAATCTACCTTGTCCATAATTACTATCACATTTGTTTTGTCTGCTTTTGTAAGGTGAAGTCTAGGATCTTTCCTTAATTCATGGTAACTTGACAACATAATTACTATTGCAAATGCATTAGTAATTATGGACAAGGTAGATTATAGGGCAAAAGTAAACATGATATTAGGAGATGGAAACTCATGTGCCTCTTAACTGTAAAGCAGTTAGTGTAATGAGGGGTATCTTAATGTAAAGCAGTTAGTTTTATGAGGGGGGGGGTACCTTAATGTTTACTTGTGATACTTAAGTCATTGCTATTAATAGTAACTAAAGATAATTATTACCAGTTTTATTAATTTGCTTTTTGGTTGTACATTTTAAATTTGATCAATCATTGTAAAAAGTCTATATGTTCTTTACCCACCTGATTTAATACATACAGTATAACATTTATTAAATTGAAACTTTTCAGACTTTTATTACCAATATAGGCCTTATTTATAGATCCTCTTTATTGTCTCTCATTTTTCACAGATACATCACTAACAGGGTCTGTGTTAGTTTAAAAATTGAATGTAACAAAGAAAAAAAGTTTCAGCATGGTCTTGAGGTCTTTAAAATTTTGGTACACTAAAAACTTCTTTACAGCTTTCTCATGAGCTGTGTAGGCTGCTAGAAAATGTCTTCAGTTTGATCCTTTGCTAAATTTTTCCTTATTTTTCACTGTATATTTTGACACAGTCTTTACGATACCTAAGCAGAGTAATTTCACTTTTGGAACACATGTGCCTTGGCATAATATTCTTCTGTATTGGTAGCCATTTTGGGAGCTCATATTCAGTTTCTATGGGTCTGTTTGAAGACAGTATCTTTGATTGTTTTATACAGACTTTGAACAACCACTGCACTGTGAAGTTGTGTACTTTGGTTTAAGTTAGATATGTAGCTCATTGGATAATATGAAAACTTGTATAGGACTATGTAGGATTTTTTGTTGCACACAATTAAGTAACTTGAAGGATCTTAGCCAGATTTCCTGAAATTATCACTTTAGTATTATTTATGTGGGAGAATCTTGGACTACTGTCTCTTAAGGATAGCCTTTATTGTAATAAATATTTCAGTATTATATTTAAAGCTTAGATAATAATCAGTAAACTTTTTTCTATCTTATTCTTTACACTGGATTGAGTCGTTTCATGTTTTCTTGTTGCTCAAACTAACATTTGACACTTTTTTTATATCGCCCAAAAATTCACAGTTTGCAGTATTCTAACATCAGTCTCGCCTTAAAATCTTGCACATTAAGTCATTTTATGTAACTGCGACGATCTCACATATCTTAGAATTTATGTAATATAGGGCAGATATGAACAGTCATAGACTGCAGCTATACTTTTATCTTACAATTTTGTGATTATAAATTTCATTGCATATTTTTTTGTGTGTGGAAATATAGAAGTATAATACAATTTTTTCTACGAAAATAATATGAATGAACTTTATTTTACATGCATTTTCATAAATGAACATTATTTCACATGCATTCTCTCTTTAAAAGGACAATGCCACTTTTCTAATAAGGTATTAAGTACTGTAGTTAATGACAAAGCCATTCATATTGAGCAGGAAAATGCAAATTTATAATTTTTTGCCCAAAAGTTTGAGGAAAGACTTCCATCCTTACTGTGGTTGATATCACTGTGGTTAATATCACACTCCATGTCACTGTGGATGGTAGCACCCCTCTGTATTACTATGGTTGATAGTACCCTTCATATTACTGTGGGTGGTATTACACTCCATATCACTAGTTAATATCACTGTGGTTGGTATTACACTGCACATCACTGTGGTTGGTATTAACACTCCTGTTTCACCGTGGTTAATATCACTGAATTATTCACAACAGCACAAATGACTCTTAACAACCCAATGTAATGTTTATATTGTCAATCAACATGTCTTCAAAAGGTAAAATTATGGAGGTTTTAAATAGGCCTAAAGTCTGGTAAATGGAATGGCTGAGCTACTACTAGGTAGGCAGAGTGCCATGCGATATAGGTAATGCAAACACTTCAGGAAGAGCAAACATTTATTAAGACAGTGTTTCACTCCTTAAGTAAAACGTTGTCTTCCTGAAGGTTTGTGTGTTGCTCTGCTTCAGTGACTGTAGTTCAGAAGGTTGATGAAGTACTGTAAATGAAAGTGGGAAGATACATGATAGTTGTGTACAAAGAGTTGCGCACTCCATCTTTGTCATTACCATATCAGTACTTAAATATCACAAAATACCTCATAAATTATCCATTAAGAATTGAATATTTCAGTTTTTTTAAGGTTCTTAATAATAATTGAGGAGGCTATTGTTGAACATTTTATTTTTTAACCCTGACTGAGATGACATTCCTTTAAACTACTTTGGTATTGCACAACGTTTTTTGGATATGTAATTTATTTTTTGTTTTAGTTTGGGTTCATCTTGCTCACTTGAAATGGTTAGAGGCCAAAGATATAGTGTTAAACAATCAAGGTCCACATGTCACTGGAATGAATTGGTAGCTATAATTGCCTGCCTAAAATTCTGTGTACAGAAACAATATTTTCCTGCATAAAATTTAGCGTATAAATTTTTGTGGAATTATCATTTTATAGATACAGGATCAGAGCTATGTTCGTGGTGTCTCATGCTCACTGTTTAGGTTATCAGATTTTTTTTTTTTAAGTTTCAAATAACTACATGAGTATGTGCATATGTACAGTATACATTCACATGTATGATTTGTAGGTCATGAATTGCAACTACTTGAATTCATGCAACCCACCAGAATAGTTTGTTCAATGAAATCAAAATCCAAGCCAGTTTTAGAATATTCTTGAAAATGTGTTCAGTGGATTTACTGCACCCCATATACTTTTTTTTTTTTTTTTTTTTTGGTTAGGTTTTCTTGTTAATTTAAATATACACTGTTATAGTCATATTTAAGAAATATGGCCCCATGATGTGATGCAAGTGCACCGGAATTGTGGCGGCTCAAAACTAAAAAATCATAAAATTTTCTAAAAAAAAAAAAAAGTTGATGGATTTACTAACCCTGTATGTTTTTTTTCTTTTTTTTTTTAATTAGTCATTCTAATGAATTTCAATGTTAACATTTTCACTAAATAATTCCAGCCTCGTGAACAGATGCTGGGTCATTGAAATTGCCTGGTTTTTGATAAATCTGAATTTGGAGATACTCCAGTTTCTGTACTCTTTTGGACATACTGTATTTGTGCTGTATGTATATAAATTTGTGTGAGATTGTCATGTTTTGTTAAATAAGAAGAACTGTATTTGTGGTGTCTCATCTTTTGTGTTTAATTTATTTCACATTTTGTTTTTGTTTGCAGTGGTTATAGGAATACTACCATCTCTTGAATATAATACCAGTGATATGTTGTGACTGGTTTCAAGGGCTCTTCTTTCCTTGCAGTCCAGCCAAAAGTCAGACTTCCATGTTGAGTGCATCATCAACCAGGTAGTTGCTGCCAGTGGCTCTCAGGCATACATAGCCATCACAACCTGGCTGATCTGGCACTTTGAATTGCATCCTCTACAATACTACCAACGAAAAATATTATAACTTATTTTATGGTATACAGTATATATAAAGTAAAAGGACACAAGTGCAACTAATGTGACATTTTATTGTAGCAACGCTTCACTCTCCAGGAGCTTTGTCAAGCCGTTACAAACAATACATGGACACAGAGGGTGTATATAGGATAATTTGAACAATGCCTGCATACAACACCGAAATTCCACCAATCATCTCGTGAAATTCAGGGATGCCCAATTAGTGATCAAAGAAACTAATTTTCGCAGACACAAGTGCCTGGAATCATCACAAATCACTGTTTCTAATACAGTTAAACAAAACAAAGGCAGCTTCACCGTCTCTGAAGTCTTAGCAAAAATCCTCCTGCAAACAGTAAACCCTGCCATCAGTCTCTCCTGCTAATACTACACAAGCACATTACAGAGGAAGAACACTGAAACAGGCCTTCTCTAAGCCAACCTCCAAGTAATAGCTTTTATATCCTTTTACTCATGTGCAAGTTAGTTGTTCTACCATATTGTCCTCTTCAAGGGGGGCTCCTTGGCATGGTGAAGAGACTCTTGGTCTGAGGAATTAGACCTGTCGGTCTCCTTCCTCAGACCGAACCTAATTACCCCCCAATCCCCCCTTCCCTATCCAATCCTCCCCTTTTTCCTTTCCTCCTCCTCCTCCCCACCCCTCCCTTTTGCCCTTTCTCTTTTTGGCCTTTGGGATTTTTCCCACAGGTGTGCTAGTTCCTAGGTAGGGGAAAGGGTACTGGGGTCCATCCCATTCCGTTGAGGTTCTTGGCCATGGCGTAGTTTGCCGTGGAATCTGGATCGCCTAGGGATGTCCCAATCCCTCTCCGGTATCCCAGAGGGTGACTTTGGGTGTCTTTCGGGCGACGGGTGTATCTCTGAAAGCCACGTTTCGGATTCCGGGGGTGGTGGCCGAAGGAGGTATGCTTTGTGAAGGATATCTGGCCGCCCTCTCTTTTGTCCACCGAGGTTGCTATCCCGTATTGCTGGTTTACTGGCATAAAGGGTAGGGTATGGCACGGGTTCCATGCTGCATCTGCGCTACTTGCGGTGCTGAGGTCCTCTTGGGTGCTGAGGGAGATTTCTGGCCCTTTCATTCCTCCCCGGTCCCCCCTTTTTTAATTCTTTTTTTCTTTTTTTTCTTTTTCTTTTTTTCTTAAAAACAAAAAGAAAGAAGTAACCTAACCATGGAGTACCCAATCCATGACCCCACTACCCCCGGGCCCCTTATTGTTACCGCACCCCGTTCTGACCTCACCTCGTCTTTTGGCCACACTTTGGACACTCCTAAGGCCTCTGTACCTCTTGCTGGTGCTGTTTCGTCACCCGCTTCAGGTGCCGGGGTTTCGACTGACTCCTTCGATTTGTCTGACCTCCGCTCTCCTTTGACTATGCTTCCGGCCTCTCCCTCTACGGTGCGGGGATTTTCGAATCGCCAGCCCGTCCCACGTCGGACCAACTCTGGTCCCACTTCTAAACGCCAACGACAATCTCCTGATGATGTTACGTAATTCGTTACCTTCCCATTCTACTCGGAAAAGACCAACACATCATGCACTCCCTCTCCACACTCAGTTTCGGACCACACAATGGACTAAATTCTTTACTTTGAGACCGACTTCTTCTACTGCCTATCTTTCCGACCATAGTACAGTGGACCCCCGCCTAACAATCAGCTCCCAACTCGACCAATTATGTAAGTGTATTTTTGTAAGTGCTTTTGTAGGTGTAATTTTGGGGGTCTGAAATGGACTAATCTAATTCACAATATTCCTTATGGGAACAAATTCGGTCTATAACGGCACCCAAACAGACTTCTGGATTGAAATAATATCGTTAGGCGGGGGTCCACTGTATTGGCAAAGCGCTCCTACGCCATGTTGGTAGAGATATTTCCTTTCATGTTCTTAAGAGTGGTATGAGCACCATCACAGTCCAGAATTCTACCCAAGCTCATGATCTTTCTCTTCTTTCACATATCGATACTATTCCTATCACTATCAAAAAACATCATTCCCTCAATTCTTGTAGTGGTACTGTTATTCTGCCCCATACCATAGTTAAACAGAATTTCCAGACATGTGGCAATGACATTCTCGAACAGCTGGAACTCCAAGATCTCCCAATTCTCAAGGTAGACACTTATGTTCTTCCTGCCCGCGGGCGAAGACAATACCATTGCAATGTGGCTCGTTTAACTTTTGACAGCCATGAACTCCCATCCTCTGTTTATGTAGCAGGACATCGGTTACAAGCTTGGAAAGTGATCCCTACACTGCAACAGTGTAGAAATTGCTGGCGATTTGGCCACCCAGCAAAATATTGCAGATCTATAGCTGAATGCCCAGTCTATAGTGCCGATGACTATTCTAACACGTCTTGCAGTCGACCTCCTCCTTGCCTTAATTGTCATGAGGCTCACCCTTCATACTCTCGCCGTTGCCAGGTCTGCTTAAATGAGCGGAAGGTCTCCCTTATGCTATGGCAGTTTCTCATCTCCGCCTCCAAAGGAGACTACCCCATGTTTCTTGTTCTCATGTTTCAAAACGTCCCCCACTTCTGGGGTCCCATCTTCTGCAGCTTCCTCTGCGGTTGCCAGTCCCATAGTCACTCCTGTATCTAATTCTTTTGCTGTCCTGGGCTCAGACGTCCCTACTTCAACACCTCAGTCTGTCCTCACTTCTTCGTGTTCTCCCTCACAAACACTGGTATCGACAAGACCTCGTATGACACCTCCTCCCAATCGTCCCTCTACTTCTCAGAGGTCCAAAAAATCTCCTTTAACCCCTCCTTCCCTTCATCCACCTCCACGTTTTACCTTCCCGGTCTCTGTACCTGGGTCTTTCCCTTTCACTGGCTCCGTTACAAGTGTGGAGGTTCATCCTCCTCCTCGTACTGTGCCTTCCTTCCCTGTCCCCTCCCAAGTTTCTTCCTCTTCTGCCACCTCCCAGGTTTCTGCCTCTTCTGTCCCCTCCCACACTTCTCCAGTTCCCTCCACCCTTTCGCCCCCCCCCCCCCCCACCTTGGTACAGTCCATTGCAGTTCCGATCTTTACTCAAACTCCTCCTCCTTCCATCTCCAATATTGTCTCCCATACGACGTCTCTGAACTCCGAAACACTTGAAGCAATCTCTGAATATATTGCAGAGACCAAACCATCAATGGACGCTGATCCACCCTCAGTTCCTTCTCTTTCCTCTTCTCCATCTGCGGAACTCCTTTCTTCACGCGCACCATTCCTTCGCTGCTTGAACGTTTTCCTTTGCCACCGCTTGTGAACTTTTCTAACCCCTCTAGTCCGCAGGTACCTTTACCTGTGGATTTCAGGTATCTTTATCGTTGCCAATCATGGCCTATTTACATTGAAATATACGCGGCCTCAGGGGTAATCGGGGTGAGCTTCAGATGTTGCTCACCCAGTTTTCCCCTGTTGGTGTTTCCTTACAGGAACCAAAATTACACTCTGCAGTTATCTATCCCATCTCAGGCTATAATTTATTGTATTCTTCAGATCCTTTTTCTGATGGGACCTTTAGTGAAAGTGCCCTTCTTCTACGCACTGATATTCCGTACCATCAGCTATTTGTTCGTACTTCGCTGCATTACACAGCAGCCCATATCCACTTGCATAGGTGGTATACTCTCTGTTCTTTGTATCTCTCTCCTTCTCGGGCATTATCTATCCCGGATATTGCCTTTCTTGTTTCGTCATTACCGCCACCACTTCTGTTACTTGGCGATTTTAATGCTCATCATTTCCTCTGGGGGGTCTCACTGTGATTCCCCTGGCATTCAGTTAGAGACTTTTCTTGCTACCCACCCCCTCCATGTTTTAAATACAGGTACTCGCACCCATTTTGATCCTCGGGCTCATACTCTCTCTTGCATCGATCTCTCAGTCTGCTCTTCCTCTGCCGCATTAGACTTCACCTCGTCTGTTCTCCCGGATTTACATGACAGCGATCATTTCCCAATTATTTTTACTTGCCCTTCATATTCACCACCTCTTTGTAACCCACGCTGGCAATTTGATCAGGCAAATTGGAACCTTTACTCACAACTAACTGTTTTTAGTGAGGTTCCTTCTTCGTCATCCATTGATGAGCTTTTACACCTCTTCTCGTCCTCCGTTTTAACCGCAGCTTCTCATTCTATACCCCAAACTTCGGGCAGGCATTCTCAGAAATGCATGCCTTGTTGGTCTCCTCCTTGTGCTCGTGCAGTACGTTTGAAATGCGCTGTGTGGGGCAGGTACCAGTACAATAGAACCACGGAGAGACTTCTTTATTTTAAGCAGAAGCGTGCGATCGCTCGCATTGTCATCCGTGATGCTAAACGCTCTTGCTGGCGAGATTGTCTCCAGGCTCTGGCGGCCTGGTGGTTAACGCTCTCGCTTCACACGGTGAGGGCCTGGGTTCGATTCCCAGCCAGAGTAGAAACATTGGACGTGTTTCTTTCCACCTGTTGTGGGGCAGGTACCAGTACAATAGAACCACGGAGAGACTTCTTGATTTTAAGCAGAAGCGTGCGATCGCTCGCATTGTCATCCGTGATGGTAAACGCTCTTGCTGGCGAGATTGTCTCCAGGCTCTGGTGGCCTGGTGGTTAACGCTCTCGCTTCACACGGTGAGGGCCTGGGTTCGATTCCCAGCCAGAGTAGAAACATTGGACGTGTTTCTTTCCACCTGTTGTCTATG